TTCTATAAGAAAGAGTCTAGTGACCTCATAGGATTTATTTATAAGAATTTTTCTAGGAATTCTATAAGAAAGAGTCTAGTGACCTCATAGGATTTATTTATAAGAATTTTTCTAGGAATTCTATAAGAAAGAGTCTAGTGACCTCATATGATTTATTTATAAGAATTTTTCTAGGAATTCTATAAGAGTCTAGTGACCTTATAGGATTTATTTATAAGAAGTTTTCTAGGAATTCTATAAGAAAGAGTCTAGTGACCTCATATGATTTATTTGCACCACCCTTGCTTACCAATATGAGAGACCTGAAGTTCATTCTCCATATTATACTTATAGATGTTTAACGACAACGATATCTGGGTCCTTGGCAAATCCGGTTAAACTACTTTTTTTAATATTCAACAATAATTAAAAATTATGTCACGTCTTTTATCCAAATCTAAAAACAAATAACCCGTTTAATATGCAGTTAGCATTAGGTGATATTACGCGTGTTACACCTTTATTTATAAGCCAATAACATATAAGCTTTAAGGGAAACAAATTCTTTGAAAATTTTTAATATACTTTTCATAACCAACACAACAAAAACATATATATATATATATATACTACAACCCTCAAGAATTACCATATATATATATACTACAACCCTCAAGAATTACCACAAATGTTGCAGATGTTGCTTAATATTTTGAAATATAGACGACAAATTATCTTCCCAACGATAACAAACGTAGAGGACTTTTTAATGTCACCCATCTTAAAACTTAAACTCCAAAGCCAGTATCTAGTGTTGCTTTTATTAGCAGCATTTTATCTTCTACCAGGTTATTTCTTTAATTGCCCCCCAATGGCATAACGGTATGTCTGCGGACTTACAACGCTAGAATCCGGGTTTCGATACCCGTGGTGGGCAGAACACAGATAGCCCATTATGTAGCTTTGGGCTTAATTACAAACAAATAATTTCTCTAATTGGTATCGTTATGTTTCTAGAAGGGTATTTCTTTATTTGGTATCGTTGTGCATCTAGAAGGGTATTTCTTTAATTGGTATCGTTATGTTTCTAGAAGGGTACTTCTTTAGTTGGTGCTGTTGTGCTTCAAGAAGGGTACTTCTTTAATTGGTGATGTTGTGCTTCTAAAAGGGTACTTCTTTAATTGGTGCCGTTGTGCTTCTAGAAGAGTATTTCTTTAGTTGGTGCTGCTGTGCTTCTAGAAGGGTACTTCTTTAGTTGGTGCTGTTGTGCATCTAGAAGGGTATTTTTTTAATTTGTACAGTTGTGCTTCTAGAAGGGTACTTCTTTAATTAGAATTGTTGTTAACACTTGACAGTTAATTTGGTGCAAGTCGTCTCAACACTTTTGGTTTATGTATCTGACTTGAAAAAGAGAAAACTGATGATCACATTCACACTATCATTACTATGTAATGTAGTAAAAAGGTCTCTGACCTTGAATAACGAATTATACTTTCGTTTTCCACACGTTTATACATACTTTAATGCATAATGAAATATAGTGTGCAGAAAGTCAATCAAGTTAATGGTTTTCCAGGAACAAAAAACATCAGAACTTTTAAATGAACAAAACAGACTACATTTCTTTTATTAATAGCTCAGATTCTTAGGAGTGAGCCAGTAAACATAGTTATGAAGTTAGATCAATAAAACAGAGAGTTCGTTGACATTAAGTATTCTAATGCCCTCAATGTTTGGTTACAATTTTGTTATTCATATACAAGTTGATGTAAAGATTCAGTGCTGTTCACATCAAAGAAAAAAATAATTGTAGGAATTTAAAATTTCAATCGTTATGTAACAGTTAATCTATCGTATCAGTTGGTAGATTCCATAAGTGTATCTCGTCTATTTTCAATGACGCACGTAAAAAAAAAAAACACACCAAAAACCTAACTTTCACACACACGCCTCTGTTAAGTTTGTTTGTTTTAGAGCAAAGCCACATTGGGCTATCAGTCGAGTCCACAGCGGGAATCAAACCCCGGATTTTAGCGTTTTAATTCCGTAGACTTACCGCTGTTCCACCGGGAGGAACCCTCTGTTAAGTCTATACCGATTACTTAAATAGTACAAATTTAAAAAATGGGACGAGGTATCAAACATTCTTCTAGGTTATATTTATGGAGGGATTAATTCAGAGTAAATACATGTATCAGTGGTTCTTAAACATAAACATATCATTATTTTAAAATTCTTTATAAAATAAATAACTTAAATGTTTTTGAATACATGAAATAAAAAATATAATAGTACTATTAGACTTTCCTGTAATATATTAGAACAATAACACTCTTCCTAAATTGAGCATAGGTCGCAGGCTAGTCGGGGGGGTGGGGTAGTGACTAGAAAAGTTTGGAAAGCTCTACTATAGATGAAGATAAAATTTTTCAGAGAAAACCACTGTATCAAATTTATTACGAAACAAACACAATTTCACCTTAAACACACCCAAGGGATCTGCGTATTGAAAGAGTAATTACTTTTGTGAAATGATCAAAGTTTATGAGAAATTATACGCATTTTCAATTGGCGTAAACAAGCACGGAGGGACACACCTAACAAACTGTCGGAAAAAACAATCATAGCAATAGAATAAAATGTTCTTGCATTTTGTAGAATAAGAGGTTTCTAGGTGGGGCGGAAAACTGAGAATGTATAACAATTCAGTATTGTTCTTAAACACCTCCAAACTATACAAGATGTTGAACTGAAAACAGCACAAGTAAACGCTGTTTGATCATTGTTCTCTCATATTCATAAGGTATATTATAACTCTGTAAAAATTACGATTGTTTTCCAAATGAGTAAGCCATAGAATAATGTTGACTGAACATACGAGGTACCACAGCTACAGAATAGCACTTCAACTTCAAACAAAATACCTTCTTCGATGCTAAAATTAGTGAAGTCACGAAGCATGTCACGTCTTTGCCAGCTGACGGTGGTATATTTACTTCAACGGCGCCACCTGGGCCAGTAACCTTGGATATTCATCAAATATAGGTTCGACTCTGAAGAATGTGTTCCGACCAAAGAAACCCATACATATTTGTCTTAACAAACTGTTCGGGATAGTCATGTACAAACTCACAAATATTATTTTATAAAGTGTATATATAACCAGATTTCAAGCGAAAGGTATGTTTAAGATAACAATACTCTCTATAGAGAAGCAAACATTTAAAACTTCAATATCCAAAAAAACATGGTTTTACATATCAGTTTCAACCCTGTGTCCAGCTACAAACACACGCACCTGAAGGAAACAACTACACAAGTATAAGGTGGAGTGCGATTCTTGATTTAGTTACCACTTCTTTGATTATAACTGCACATGTGAATTTATTTGTGTATGTTTCGTATTTTTACATGTAAACTGTATTTTTCTTTTGCTCTAAGCTGATTAACATAGAATTTATGAAAGTGTTAAGCGATATAAATAGGAGTTATGTCATATTGGTTTGCATAATCTTCCAATTAAACTACGACAAATCAACCTTGAAAAACAATATACAGATTTGTCAATTCTTCTAATATTTTATACATTTCTCACACTGAAAAAGTTGTGAAAAATTGCCAATTTTACAATACGATTAACATAATTATTTAATATTTTTTATTCCAAGTTATGAATTTAACTTTTAATTTAATCAAAGTTGAGTATACCTTTGTTCGTTCTTTACATAAAAACATGAACACATGTGTTCAGTCTAAATTATAAATATATAAGACTAACGTAGGTAAAAGTAGTCCACGAGGTTGATCATGCATAAAGAACTGGTGTTGATAACAGAAAACCTTTGTCCTTGGATTCTCCCCGAAAAAATAAAAAAAATAAAAGCGGG